ATAAGTTTTAAGCGCTGATTTAAACAAGCATATCGTACTAGCAGTCCTAACGTTGTATGGTAGCGAGAGTTCCATATTCTAGCAGCAGCTACGAAAAAAGATCGGACTCCATATGTTATAGAACTAGATTTAGGAACAACTAATAAATTAGAGTTAGATGATCTTAGATTTCTTGCTGGTTGATATTTAACTACTAAATCAGAAATGTAACTAGGAGCCTGACCATTTAGAGCCTTAAATGTAATCAACAAGATCTTAAAATTAATCCTCTTAGAAACTGGTAACCAATGCAAATTACGTAGAACAGGTGTAATATGTTCGTGTTTTCTAGACCTAATGACTAATCTGCTAATTTCTCAAGTTTAGTTAGTTGATGATCTCCAGCCAATTTTCTCTCTGATGCTACCAAAGCATTTGTTTTTTATTAAAAATACGGTAAAAATACATTTATTATAAAAACATCAAAATTCCCATGGAAAACCAAACATCGTTATGTAAAAGACGCAAGTAAGCTTTTTTTTTTTTTTGCTCACCTTAACCAGTTGGCCAATACTAATTCCTCAATGAAAAGAGTAATTTGTGGAATACCACAAGGAAGTACACTAGGACCTTTACTCTTCCCTCTTTATATTCAGTGACATTGTTTACTCCTCCGACAAACTTTCCTTTTTTCAGACTTTTTGCTGGCGATACCAATTTGTTTGCATCTTCTAAAAACCAGCAAGAGCTTGAATCAATTATGAACCAAGAATTTAAAAAAGTCAAAAACTGGTGCGACGCCAACAAACTCTCTATTAACTATTAATAAAAAATCATGATAATCAAATATGCCCAAAAGAAACTAACAATAGCTATGAATGTTGTATTTTCCTCGGGTGACACTTACCACCCCCTTGGACAAAAATACCATATCAAATACCTAGGTGTCATGAATTATATAATAATCAATAATAATAATAATGATAATGTTATTATTATCCTTTATGACCTTGATGAGTCTCCTTTAACGACTAATGTATAACAGGGATTGCATTGGCGAAGCTATGTTTGCTGAGAGCAGGAGAGATGACTTTAAAACGCGTTTTAACCTTTTGGGCACAGTGTACAAATATTCTAAACATATACTCACAGCAAAGGGAAGGGCAATACCGCCATCAAGGGGTAATTTTTTCGACCTTCGGTACAAAAAATTTCAACTCTTTGAAAAACACACTCGTGCGAAATAATCCCAAATTGAACTCGAAACCTTACGATTACCTATACAAATTGCAAAATGGACTCGCAAGTCTTAGCGTCCGCGTCCGCGTCCGCTTAATTGGTTTCCACTGAACAGAAATTTGTTTTAAAGTAAACACGGTACGAAATATTCGGGACCCATTCTTATTTAATAATGAGTCCATACAAATATAAAGAAAACAAGTTTTTCGCTTGTTTGATCTTCATATCTTTAAAATGAAGTGGGTGACCATATTTAAAAACAAAGGAAAGATTGACACAAAATTTATGAAAACAATCCACCGGTTAACGAATTCGAATTCTACGTATTTTGATCCACTGCATTGCACGTATCGAACTTATCATAAATCCTTATCACTAATAACTCTTACATTTTAATTAAAACATTTTAAATTGTCAAAATTTACGACCGAGATGATTTGTTTCTGCATTTCTTTGATGTTTTCAATTTTTTTCGAAGTGTTTCCTTGATACCTTGGGTTACGCTTCAGCACGCGTCTTTTCCTTGTTTAATATCATATTTCGTCAGCGTTTAGCAAATCAAAGAACAAAACAAAACAAAACAATCAATTCAGTTGCCAACATTTTTTATTAGTTTTCTTTTAGCATGAATTATATTGGAATATGCTTATGCTAGGTTAAGAAATATCATAATTATGATAGGAGACTCACATTTACAAGTCACGTGACGACCGCTACCTAATTAAACGTGCAATTATAAATTAATTATCATCAGGAATTACTGCCGTTCTACTCTAACCGTGAACAGATTACGAATTGAAAACAAAAGAATTCGAGTTACTTTTGTTGAGAGTCTATAAAAGCTATTCAAGGAGATGAAGTGATGAAAGAGAGAAAAAAAGTAAAAGTATGTTTACAGAAATAAAAAATAAAATAAAATAATCTCACTGGCAAGTATTCACGGTTACACTAGAATGACAGTAAACGAGCAGATGAATCTTAGGTTTAGATATCAAGCTTTGCCGTTTGTAAAATCCGATTACTATTCTAATATCGGGTTTGTGATATGAGATGTTAAATATTTCTGATTCTAATTTCTAACTTTGTCATGTACCATTAGAAACCCGAAAAAAATATTCCGGTCGCACTTTCTCTTGAGTAAATTTACCACTTAGTACAAGTTGCCTATTAAAACTGGTTTACTGAAATGCATAGTGTGACCGAGTTTGCTAAGTGCAACGGCCATTCAATATGTTTATGATATTCCTGCAAGTGCCATTCTCTTTAACACTGTGTGGAATAGTGGTTATCAGACGGCCTCCATCATACACCAAAATGTGACTGCCCCCAGAAACGATGGACAAACCGCATCGCTTGGCGAAGTTTTGCAGTTTTGAAGACATGCAATCACCGGGGAATTTAAGCTTCTTTTTTCGTTTCTCTATCGACTCTATTGTTGCATCCCTCAGCTGTTGCCACTTGTCGTAGAACTTGTTGGCACTTGGCAGGCTTGCAGCTTCTGGATAGATTTCCTCCTCAAGGTCAACTAAAATAAAATAAAATGAATGAATGAATGAATGAATGAATGAATGAATGAATGAATGAATGAATGAATGAATGAATGAATGAATGAATGAATGAATGAATGAATAAATGAATGAATGAATGAATAAATAAATTGATATTAAAATCGAAGCAAGACAAATGACGGTTTAACGTCCTTAGGCCATGAGGTGTAAAGACATGATATAAAGTACATTACCATTGCCAAAGCTAAGATACCAAAACAACTAATTAGCACGATTATAATTTCATTACATTCCAATATATTTCAGTATATTCCTTGTAAATAGTCAAGCCTGGTGCATTATGGTACCGTGCTGAAGTGACGTGTTGTACCATATATATTCAAACATTGTGATTGGACTTTTTCGTGCTGGTTGAATAGTTCAAAGAAAAAGTTATTTAAAAGTCACGGTAACGTATGATAAAAAATATGGTCATTTAAATAATAGAAAAACAGTATAAAAATAGATCTAGACGTTCAAAAAGGGCATGTGTCTACTGCTTGCTAAGCTTTTTTACGTTGAACGTCCGAGATCTTTTAGATTTCAGCTTGCACTTTCTCCACCTTCGAACTTCAAATATCCAAATATCCCTCGTATAAGAACTCAAATATCCTTTTAGAGGACATGATTATTGCGCCATTGTAAAAATTAGAGGCAGAGGAGCATTGGTTCTGCACTGTCACGATCATCCAAGCAGTGGAGCAGAAGACTCGCTTGCTTCTTGACGAACAAACACGCTAATTCAGTGGTCCTTGTTTTTGTTTTTTGATCGACTCTTTCTATTTATTTGAACTAGTGCCTGACAGCACTTCAAAGAAACAACATTTGACACATTCGATGAAGCATGTGCCTCGCTTTTTCCAAAAAAAAAAAAAGATAAGATTTATTACAAACATGGCAAAAAATTTGTAGTGAGCTCAGAGTCAGCTTAGATGGTATGAATCAAATATTTCCATAAATAGAAAGTCGCAAGCAGTCAATAGTTTTTAGACATTGAGCAGCTAAAGCTATTCGGCGGACTTCGGCAAACATCGTGGATCATCGCTGTGGGTCGTTGTCTATGTGACGTCATCCGAAATTTTACATMATTTACTTACACCGTGATAAATTCCATGTTAGTCACATTTTTATGTAATTTGCCTAATATTTCGATGGTCGGCAAATATGGACACTCGACATCATAGTGCCTACAGATTTTATAGAAGCAGTAGAAACAAAAAGGGATTCAAGTAATGAGAATATTTTACAAATTCCTTTTCTCTCTCACCACTTTTTCCAATACGTCTTCTCGGCCACAATCCCTTCACCTCAGTTGCTATGGCAACAACCAACACCAGAACCAATATCAGAACTTTAATACTCATGGCTGTCGTCTTGGGGTGCTGGACAACTATTCTGTTAAAAAAAGTTGTTTAAAAAGCGTAAGAGTAATATCCTATACTTTTTGTTAGTCCTAATAATCAAGATGAAGCACTAGTGACACTCCTATTAAATAATGCTAATAATCTTCCTCTCCGGCAACGCAACTTGGGAGTTCGAGTCCTGTCCGGCATAGTGTCGTATGGGAGCAGGGTTGCTTCTTGTTTCTATCCTGTGCTTCGAGGGTTTTTGTCAAGTTTTCTTCCCGTAGCAAAAATCAATATCTAAAATAAATTCCAATTCGATCGTATGAGATATTCTCAATAGGGTTAGCCCCCTATATATTCTTTCGCACTATAATGCGAATAAATTGATGTTTTTGTTTGCTTTCTGTTTTTGTTATTATTATTATTATTATTATTATTATTATTATTATT